CCTAGGGGGACAGCTTGAGGCTCTGTCTCAAAAAAAAAAAAAAAAACAAAAAACCTCATACCTTAGGGCTTGTTAAATACTCTCACCTTCACTAACCTCCACGTGGAGAAGGCTTTATTATAGTTCACATGTGATTAAGCACAATTCATAAATGTTGGAGGTAGTAAAATATCCATAGGGCTATCAAATCAGTAATAAAACTTCACTGGAAAAGTGTCCAGGCTTCTTGCTATGATTTAGTCTAGGACCACTGGCTTTGGAGTCATGCAGCATTCCAGTATTTACATGTGATTTCTACCAAATCTCTTAAGTCCTCTTTTGTCTTTCTTCGCCTTTTTAAATTGCAGTATACAGTAAAGGGTAACAACATTAAGTGTACAGTTGATCTATTTTTACATATGCTCAAGCTCATGTAATCATCACGTCAAGATAGAGAACATTTTTGGCTGGTCATGGTGGTTCACACCTGTAGTCTCAGATACTTGGGAAGCTGAGGTGGGAGGATCTTTTGAACCCAGGAATTGGAGGCTGCAGTGAGCTATGATTGTGCCACTGCACACAAATCTGGGCAGCTGGGTAGTACTCTGTCTCTAAAAAGATTTAAAAAACAAATCTCCACATCCCTGGAGAGTATGCCTCTCCCCCTCCCCCAGTTAGCATTCCCCAGAGGTCAACAAAGAGTGATATGATTTCTATTCATGCAGATTACTTTTGCCCATTTAGAAACCTTAACTGACCCAGAGCCTGTATTCTTGTTTTTGGCTCCATTCACTGAGCACCATTTAGCCATGGTGCCCACTCATCAGTGGGATGATCCATCCCTCTTGTTCTTTTTCATTGCTGTATACTATTCCAGCATGAGTACACCATAGTTTGTCTCTTGGTGTCCTGCTGATGGACACTTGGGTTGTTTCCAGAATTTGCCCATTATAAATAAAGTCACTACAAGCATGATGTAGTCTCTGTGTTTCTAGGTAGATGGTTACCCAGGAGTGGAATTGCTGAATAATAAGGTTAGCATGTTTTTAGTAAGAACTGTCGAAACATTTTTCCAGATCTCTCAAACTCTCTTGAAAACAGGAAGAAAAATTCTACATCTGATTGTAGAAATATTTTGCAGGCCTTAAGGTATAAGGCTTTAAGTCAGGAGTGTCCACATGCTGATTTTACGAGAACATTTTTGACTCATCTGTGGTGTACAATATCACCAAAAGTATGCACAGGCCTTTTATTGTTGTTGTTAATCAGCTTTCATTAGTGTTTGTGTATTTAACGTGTGCTTCCCCAATGTGGAACAGAGAAAACAAAGGTTGGGCAACCCCACTTAAGCCTGGTACCTGTAACACGGAACACGGTGGGTGCTCAATAATTGTCCCTTTCTTTCCCAGCAGGGTAAAGGTGAAGCAGACAGCTGATACCACGGCAAGTGCCAATCCCAGACCCTTGGACAGAAGAAGCCCCTCCTACAGCATGTAAGTCCCAAGCCCAGCGCTGCCACCAGCCAGCCTTGGCATCCCTGCCTCACATCTGCCTCCCCTGCAGGCCTCTGCCTCATCCTGATCCCACAGGCTCAGTGTTCTCCTTGCTTTGCTGGATATTCGCGCCCCTGTGAACTTTGCGTGTCACCTTGCGTACATTCGGCACTGCGTGCCGGGCCCTGAGGACGCAAGAGACAATGCCATGAAGACCTTCACCCCTCAGACCACTCGGCGGGAGGAGGAATTCTGCAGACAGAGATCCAAGCCGGCCAAACACTGCAAGGCCGGCCGCCTGCCAGATTTCTAACCCGACACTGGGCTTCCCCGGGAAGTTGCTGCCAGCGGTTCTTAAACTGTGGGTCGTGACCCCTTTTTAACAATGAAAATACATTGCGGCATTAAGAAGGTTGAGAACCACTGCTGCAGACGACAGCTCACCCGCACCCTCAGCAGTAAACTCAATCCTCCGAGCCCAGCCCTGCCGGTCCAGGCCCCAAACCGATGCCAAGCGTCCGCCCCCGCAGGACGGCCACCCCCCCCGCAGGGCCGCGAAACCCCACCCCGCCGCTTAGCCAATGGCCGCGGGGCCCTGGGCCCTGGCCCCGCCCATCCCCTCCCTGCACTGAGAGTTCCTGCCGGCCCAAGCAGGGGCTCTCGCCGGGACTTGGCTGCCTGAGGTAAGGTCGTCCTCCCGGCTCTAGATCCTCCCGGCTCAGCACGCACGGACGCCTTTTGGAAAGGTGTGCTGTGGCGGCAGTAATCGAGTGGGACTTGGAGTCAATAGGGTCGCGACGAGCCTGGGGTGCCGCGGTGGGGGGAGGGCGGTGGGAGGGTGGAGACAGGAAGGGACAGGGCGCGCTGGGCTCCAAAGAGCGGGTCCTAAGGCGCACCGGGTTCCGGACACCAAGGTCTGCACGCATCATGTCCAGCACTCGGGGAGAAAGGGTAAGTGGCTGGGGGGCAGGTTGGGCCAGAATGAGACAGACACCCGCGCTGCTCAGCGCCGCCTGCAGGCCTAGGGTGATCCTCAGGTGCTGCCTCCCTCCCCTGGGTCTTGACGCTGCTCCACGGTGACACCTGCTCAGAACAGCCTCCCCGCCCTTCTTGGACCTGGGCCTCACCCGGGAATCCAATCCGAGACTATGAAGACTCACCCACTGGGGAGGGTTGGAAACTTTTTCTCGGACGTGCTCAGCTGCTCTGGAGCAGTCGGGTCAGAAACTTGGCCACATCCGAGAACACTCTGCCACCTCCTCCCCTTCTCTGAGATGGGAAAGAGGTTCCAGGAAAACAATACAACTAAAACCAAAACAACATTCTCTATATGGGTGCTGTGAAGCCTCAAAAAGATCTAGGAAGACAGTCAGCAACTTGGCTGCCGTGTGCTCAACACCTTCTGGAAGATTTCCAGTTCTGCAGAAGGGACTAAATGCTGTATCCTCCCAGGTGCCCCCTCGCCCAGCCGGTGACCTTGACACCTCCCTGGACTTGAAAGCAGGGGGGTGTGTGGGTCTCCTTTGCTGTAGGGACCTCTGTGCCCTGCAAGGTGTACGGCCAGCTGTAATGAGGCAGCAAGTTTTGGGCTCAAGTACTGTCCCGGCCCTGGCCAGCTGTGCAAACTTGGTATCAGTTTTCCTCTCTCATGGAATTGTGGCAAGGATTACGTGAAAGAACCTTGATGGCCTGTAGTGGGACGGCAAGAAATGTGAACAAATATGAGCTTCCTTTCTTTTTGGTGGGGACGTATCATCCCCTTATGCCCCCACAAATCTGTGCTTAAGGCTGAGGCTGTTGTGTAGAAGAGTGGCTCATCTAACTCCCCCGGTACCTTTCCCATGCCATGAGAAGGGAAGGAGGAAGGGGTCTGTTAATTCCCACAGAGTTTTCTTTTCTTTCTTTCTTTCTTTTTTTTTTTTTTTGAGACAGAGCCTCAAGCTGTCACCCTGAGTAGAGTGCTGTGGCATCACAGCTCGCAGCAACCTCCAACTCCTGGGTTTAAGCTATTCTCTTGCCTCAACTTCCCAAGTAGCTGGGACTACAGGCACCTGCCACAACGCCCAGCTATTTTCTGGCTGTAGTTGTCATTGTTGTTTCGCAGGCCAGGGCTGGATTCGAACCCACCAGCTCTGGTGTATGTGGCTGGCGCCTTAGCCGCTTGAGCTACAGGCACCGAGCCTTTCACAGAGTTTTCTTTGCATGTTTCCTGAAGTCCCAAAGGACCCCTGCCTTACCTCCCTGATTCTCCTGACCTTCTGTCATTAGCACTTGCCTGACCAGGAATGCAGTGCCTTGTGGTTGGCAAAGAAAGTCATGTCATGTGAGGCTGTGAGGCCAGTAGGCAGGACTTTCTCCCAAGTGATGAGGGCCTGGTAGCCTCAGCTGCACCTAGTTCTCTGCTCTGCAGCACTGTCTTCTAGAGGTCTCACCTGACACCTACCTGGTCTTCTCTGCCTTCTTCCCTCCCTGACAACCGTCTAGGAATCCACCTTAAGCTTCACTTGTTCAAAACAGCTCTGGTGTTCTTCCTTCTGCACTACTGCTCCTCCCTTGGCTTTTCTATCCTGGTAAATGACACCTGCTTTCCCCCCACTACCCAAGGAGTCATCCTTGATTGTTTTTTTTTTTTTTTAAACAGAGACAGAGTCTTACTTTGTCACTCTCAGTAGAGTGCCGTGGCATCACAGCTCATAGCAACCTCCAGCTCTTGGTCTTAGGCAATTCTTTTGCCTCAGCCTCCCGAGTAGCTGGGACTACAGGTGCCTGCCACAACACCCGGCCATTTTGGGGGTTGCAATTTGGCTGGGCACAGGTTTGAACCTGCCACCCTCAGTATATGGGGCCAACGCCCTACTCACTGAGCCACAGGCACCACCCATCCTCCATTCTTCTCTCTCCCTTACCTCCCACACCCTCAACACACCAGGCATCCGCCTGCCTCTTGCCATTGCTGCCATACCCAGCATGTCCCTTGCTGTGGTCTCCTCTGTCTTTTCATTCTGGCCCTTTCACAGTCCTCACAATCACCAGAGAGGGCATTGATGTAAATCAGATCCTCTCCTTTCCCTGCTAGGACCTTCCACTTGTTCCCAGGTTCACTTCAAATAAAACCCAGAGTCCTTTCCTACAATACTCTATATGAGTGGCCCCTGCCAACCTCCTTGACCTTGGTCTCTGCCGCTTCTCCTAGCCTTCTAAACTTTGACCACACTGACCTGTTTTCTGTTCTTCACACATGCCAAGTTCATTCTCATCTTAGGACTTGTGCATTGGCTGTGTCCTCTGCTGGGAACACCATTCTTCTCTCAGCTGAGAAGGACTCAGCTCCAATGCCACCAGCTCAGAAAGGCTTCCTTGACCGCCCCAGTTTAAGTGTCATGTCCTGCTTTATTTTCTTCATAATCTGTGTTATTATCTGGAATCCTTATTTAGGTATGTGTTTACCGATCTGTTATTTGCCCTATCCCAATATAAATATAGAAATTGGATAATGGCATAGACGTTGTCTCTTTTATTTCCTGCAGCACTCCCTGATGGGGGAGGCAAATAAGAAACAAGCAAACACATCTATAATTGCAAACTGTGGTAAGTGCTACTACATAAACAACCAGCAGCAATTGCTTGTATTTGAGGCACTTTAACAATTTTAAGCTTGTAAGGCTAAACTGTTGTACTATCAAAATAAACTCTCTAAGTCATTTTAAGGGTGAGGAAAAGCCTGGGAGAGCTTGTTAACTTTCCCTAGGTCACACAGTGAGTTCAGGGTGGTGGAACTCAGTCTCCTCTCATGAGAACGTATAGGGCCTGCAGTTATGTTTTGGAAAGAACCTGATTGTGAAGACAGTTCTTTGTACTCCCACTGATCAGCAAGCCCTTTAATTTCTTTCTTTCTTTTCTTTTCTTTTTTTTTTTTTTTTTTTTTTTTTTTGAGACGAAGTCTCATTCTATTGCCCTGGGTAGAGTTCCGTGGCATCATAGCTCATAGCAACCTCACTCTTTCGGGCTCCACTCTCTCGGGCTCGAGCGATCCCCTTGTCTCAGCCTCCTGAGTAGCTAGGAAAGTGCCTTCCACAACACCTGGGTGGTTTTCCTATTTTTTTAGTAGAGATGAGCTCTGGCTCTTGCTCAGGCTGATCTCGAATTCTCAAGCTCAAGAAATCTACCCGGCTCAGCGCCTATAGCTCAACCGGCTAAGGCGCCAGCCACGTACACCTAAGGTGGCGGGTTCGAATCCCCAGCCCGGACCCGCCAAACAA